CCAAAATCGCTTAGGCGGTTACAGCGCCAAATAAGAAGAAGAAGAGCTCTGAGTATTGCGCAATATTTAAATATAGTATTACGGGGTGCACTCTATAATAATTTGAGTTTTTTTTAAACTCCGAAGTATCAATGCTTCATTAGGAGACTCTTCACGTGTGCGCGAAGACCATTTTAGTGCCAGTGACTTTATTTGTTGCCCATCGCAGCCGGGTATTTCTAAGCGGACGCATTTGCTCCCAGGTGCAGGAATTATTATACAGAATATGAAAAGAAAATCTTCCACTCATATATGTACATGGATAGACCAAATTTCAAATGGTGGTCTAACAAAACCTAAACCGGAATTCCTTGTTGACATAAAGAAACTGAAATTAACTTTTAATAAATTTAATGGGAAGGAAATTTCGAATTGCAAAAATTTAATAGCTGAATTATTGAAGTTAAGTTCTGATGTATATTTAGAATAATCAACCCTTTTTTAAATGTCTAATATACTTTAAAAATATTGGGCTAGTAAAAGCAAGAAAATTGCCAAAATGGGTTTATAAATGAGTGTGTTTCACTTAGTGTGTAATTTTGTGTAAGTATGCATTTCCACATTTACATTAAAACGAAAAGGCAATACCTAAAATGGAGCTGATTCTAATGAGATTTTAAAAATTTTCATATCTACAAAAACTTTAATTTCAAAGATATTAGCTCGCAGTTATAGTCAAAATAAAGTCGACTCTAAAGTTAATAGCCGTTTTTTTTTTGACAGCTATCCCATTGAAAATTATGTCAAAAAGCTGCTTTTAACTTTAGGAGTGGACTTTATTTTGGCTATAGCTACGGGCCGTTGAGTTTCATCAAATATGGTAAATGCATAACAAAGGGTTAATTTTTTTATCATGCATTACAAATGTAAAAAAAAAAATTTTTCGAATTTTTTTGAGTATGCATATATGTATATGTATTTTTTTTTAATTGTAACATAATTATTCTTTCATCGACGAGTAATTATTTACTAAAACAAATTTCCGAAATACATACATAAATGATTATCGAGCCAATTTCAAAGCTATTCAGCTCAGGAAAAAAGATATGAGTATTTGACTGTGATACTCTAATTTGCTAAATTTAATAATTAGCCTACTGAAACAGCATTCCAACAGACATTCATGTGGGAAATCCGCCTCTATTTTATTATAGGTACAAATTAAAAAAATTACGAAAATTTAAAAACTTTATAATATTTTTAGGACTTGTGGTGTGCGCCTTGATGTTGTCACACAAAGTGGAGGGACCTACAGTTTTGCGCCGACTCCGAAAGGCGATTGTATTTTTATGAGAAGCTGTTTTTCATGGAAGAAATACACTCGGAGGTTTGCCATTGCCAGCCGAGGGACGACCGCTGTTAAGAAAAACCTTTTTTTATATTTTTTTGCAATGTTAATTTGACCAGGGCTATATTAATCAAAGTTGCACACTTTATATAAGGTTAAAAAAAAATTCATCAGATTTAAATTTTTTCACACTTTGAAGGTGACCCCTAATTATTATTTAAAATTCTTTGAATTTTCGTGGAAGTCTATATTGTGTATTTGTAAAAAAAATAGGGGTGTCCCATACACAACTTAGATTTTTATGTTTTTTTAAGGGCCATCCTAAAACGCATTAATATATTAAGTATGCATGCAAATAACTTACCACCCTGTTTCTATGAATCGCATCTAATAGATACACAATTATAAGCACTCACCTGAAAATAGATAAAAGGAAAATTATGATTACTGTTTCATGATTTGCATTTATACATATTAACTAAAAGCATCTGTACTGTGGCAAAGGAAATTTCCAAATAATTATGCTAAGTATTCCACATGGCTCAAAATGTTTAAGCATTGAGGTTAAATCGGTCTTGTGACCCATTAATTTCGCCAACTTCATAAAATAATAAGCGTCAAAGAACGCATTTCTTCAAAGTTGATAAAAAAGTTTTTATTTTTATTTTTATTGCGAGCTAAGAAGCACGTACATCTGTATGTAAATCCATATATGTATGTACTTGCAATTGAAGAACGCCGGCACAGCAAGCACCCTCGTGATAAACACCCCACATGAGGTACAGCGAAATGCTCTTCGCCAAAGAGCTAAATGCGACTAGGCAGATTGTTTCCATACTACATAGGCACATTCATGAATTGATTAGCTCAATTTCTTTGGTAGATATATTAATTAATTAGTTCAGTAACTAGGTATAAAAGCTCTATAAACTACTGACACTCCAGTACAACAATTCCACCACTGAACCAAGTTGCATCGGCTGCAACTAAATTGCATTGAAAATGTTTTCAATAATCCTGATTGGTGCTTTAATTGCATTTACCAACTCAGCTCTATACAATGCGCCATCCAATCAGTATTCTTCAGCATCTGTAGCACAAACGGCACCAGCTCCATTTTCATTGCCACGATACCTGAATCCAGGAACTGCTCAAAATCCATGGCGATTTTTGACATCTAATCAGTACTTGCCTTTACCAACACCATCATCTCCCTCTGCATCTACTCAAACATCGTATGCAGCACCATCTCCAGCGCCTGCTCCCTACTCAGCTAAAAGCTTGGCACAAGCTTCCCACGCAGCTCCAGTATCAGCACCTTGCACATACTCAGCGCCAGCTCAGGCCACTGACCCTAAGTCAGCATCTTACGCCGCTTCTAGCTCTGCTCAGGCGTCCTATGCAGCTCCGGCCCCAACTCCTGTTGATGCATCATACTCTACTCGTGACTCCGCTCAAACCTCTTATATTGCACAAGATCCAGCTCCTTCTAGCTATGCTCCAGCTTCTTATACCGCACCTGATCCTGCTCCTGCGCCCTCTCCAGCCTCTTATGATGCCCCAGATCCAGCTCCCGCATCGTATGCTACCCAGGCCTCGTATGCTACACCAGCTCTTGCTCCTGCACCCGGTCCAGCATCTTATGCTGCTCCGAGCTATACGCAAGCTTCTTATTCCGCACCTGCACCTGCCCAGTCGAGCGCTCCTGCATCTTACGTAAGCTCCAGCAATGCTCCGGCCTCTTATGCT